TCAGGGAGCAGGAACAGCAGCGCAGAGGCTGGGTTTAGAAGGGCTTCCTCTGGGGCACAGGTGTGTGAATTCCCAGGGATTTCAATGTTGCCCTCATATCCTTAAAATTGTGCAAGGTGGAGTCCACGTTCTCTGCAAACAAACCCGCAAAGTCAAAGGAACGGGACCTGGCTGGTATTCTGCACCTCAAGGGGTATCCTGACTCCTGCGACCAGGTGCTCCACTTCCTGGCAATTGCTGGGGCTATAATGTGAGCTGCAGAGACTGCTGAGTCCAAAGTGGCTTGTAACAAGGTCCTTGACACTACCCTGCCTACCTTGAGGAGTGCTGGGAACTCTGGACATGCACTGGAGGTTCAGCTTTTTTGCCTCCTTTGACTTCAGGAGGGGACCCTGCTGACCTTGTTGCTCTTTGCAGTTTGCCACATCAAGCACCAAGGTTCCTGACTGAGGGTGCATGAAAAGGTGTATCCTTTCTGCAGTATGGAGACCAGGGTCTGCCACAGCACCTTAGTGGTGGTTTCGATAGCCTTTGTAAGAGTCAACACGATCCTGGAAGGACCCTCTGAGGCAAGAATGTTCATCATCGGGTCAGAGTCTTCTGTCACTTCCTCAGAACGGTGGGCCAAAATGTCCAGGCTGAGGAAGTGCTGGTTGTGACCACTGGCCTTGAGCCCTCATGATGCCCAGGTGAGCTCTCCAGCCTGTCTCCAACGTGTGCCCTACTGTCCATCACTGGGAGCGGAGTTGCACACCACTGCCTCATCCGATGACGAAGCTCCCACCCCTCTGGCAACTGGCCCAGGCATGTCTGTCATGTCCAGGGGGGATCATGGCACGGGTACCATATGGCGAGCTGGTTCCACAGCTGCATTAGCTCCGGTGTTCTGAGAGTATGATTTGGTACAGACGTGGCACAAAGAGGAACACAGAACATGGATGCCACTGATGCTGCCCTGGAGGCCTGACCTTGAGCTTGATGATAGGCCCAAGGGGTCCAAAAGAGCTACAGAACAGGCCCCTGCCACTGTGGAGGCTAAGTTACTATTGGTGCTGGCGCAGCCCATGGTCACCAGTGCCAGACCACAACTGGAACCGACTGTGTCTGGAAGCCGATGGTTCCTCACCGGAGTCCGATGAGTAGTCCAAACCAGACCATTGAGAAGCAGAGCCTGACGGTGCGACGGGGGGTGGCGCTGTATCGTTATCAGTTTGGCCCAGTGCTGAAGAGGGGGCAGTGCCAGTAACAGTGCCACAAAGGATGAAGGAGGCGGCACTGTCACTGGTGCCAGGCTGGGGACTGCGCTGTCAAGGTGATACGGTTCCACAAGGCCTCACAACTGTCAGGCATGTCTGTCTTGTCCTCCAGCCTCTTCCGAGTTGTGGAGTCCACTATCACCCGACTTGACAGAGCCTCTGGCAGGGTCAGAATTGATGGTGCCAGTCTCTGGGTGTTCTGACATAGGGCACATCCCCACTGGTATCCCTTTGTGGCTACCTGACGGGACCAACCCCAGTCCATCTGCTTTTTCTTCTGATGCAGCATCGGGGACTGGGAACTGTGCTACATGCTCGAACCTGCCTTGTGATTTGGAGAGTGACATCAGTGTTCTCTGTCACCTTGGCATCCCGCATCAAAGCCGATGTGTAGCTAGAGCTACGCCAACTATGCTGCTGGCTGAGCCGCTTCCATTAAGAGGAGCTGAAGTTGGCAGCCTCACTGCTTCTTCGTTCTCGGTCTAAAGCTCCTGCAAATGGGGTACTTATCTGTTTGATGGCCACGTCAGGAAGGACATGTGTGGACTGCCTTTGGGCATAGACTTCTCACACTGCTCGCAGGATTCAAACCCCTGAGACCAAGGCATATCCTGGTCAGTGGAAACCGCCCAGAAGGAACTGACTATAATGCTACTAAGCTACACTACAATACATTGAACTATTTACAGCTAGCTAAAGGGGTAGGCACTTGCACTGCAAGAGACTGAAGCAGTGCCAATGACTGTCACTGGCGGTAAGAAGGAACTGAGCAGGCTGTGCAGGATTCAAACCCCTGAGACCAAGGCATATCCTGGTCAGTGGAAACCGCCCAGAAGGAACTGACTATAATGCTACTAAGCTACACTACAATACATTGAACTATTTACAGCTAGCTAAAGGGGTAGGCACTTGCACTGCAAGAGACTGAAGCAGTGCCAATGACTGTCACTGGCGGTAAGAAGGAACTGAGCAGGCTGTGGATCAGCAGGTAACTATATGCACCACCATAAGGGTGTCACTGCAGAGGGCTCCCTGGGTCCAGTTAGGGTAAACTCTCTGATGATTGTGCATGCGGTGCACACATGCCTACTGAAATGGACGTGAGCAAGCACTCGAGAAGAAACCAGAGAGTTTGGAAAGACCCGGAAAGACCCGCTAAAATCTCTTCCTTAAAAAAGTTTAATGCAA